GTTAGCCAAGACTGTTGCTTGGGGTTATTCCATCCCTAGGATTAAATTACAGATTTCTGATTTTTTTTTTTCCGATTGCTGAGATCCCTGTGTATGGCAGCCTTACCTTGGTATATACCAGTGGTTCTCCCATTGGGGTTTTCATTAGATGATCCCATCTAGTTGGGTTGTTCTGGCCTTCAAACATCTATAAATCACAAGCTAAAACAGAGAATGGAAAATTTAAGCCCAGAAAAGTTTGATTCAGCAGTGTGCAGGCAACTCACAGTTGTTAATTCAGTTTTAATTTGTATTTCTGTGGTAGATTTGTATACATGCATTTAGCATAGGAATGGAAGCATGGAAGTGCACTTACCTTATGTGGGGTTGCACTGTATGGTGTAAGATAAAAAATAAAATATGTTTTGTGCCATCCTTTCTGGATTTGCCTTTCTTTTTGTTTCAAGGGTCTTCAAAGGATTACTTGATATTAGGAAGCCCTTTCAGGGTATGCAAGTGATGTGGCAGGGTTAGAATCTACTGTAATCCCTGTGAGTGAACAAAGAACAACCTGAACGTTCTTTTCCTGAGTTCATACTTGTATTTTTGCTTTTTTCTTAAAACAAACTTCAAATCCTGTGTGTGATATGGCACTTATCCTAAAACTTTTTAAATCAATTTGCAATGCACACTTTATATTCTTACAAATGGCTACAGACCAGTACCCCTAAGTGTAGATTTGCTGCAACTGCACCATTACGCTGACCAGTTGGGTTTAGCTTTGGTTTGGAACAAGCCCTACAGCGTGATGTAATKGTCTCTCTCTGATTATTTTACCTTGGTGGATTCTTCTGCTGGCTCGTGCGTATGGTTTTTATGTGCTGTCTTTTGCAGAACTCTAAAACCCGAGAGAGCCGAAGCTGGAAACCCTTCTGGATGGAGGGYTGTTATTTATTGGCACACGAGGGGCCTGTAACTCCCGTGGAGCCGCGAGTGGACTTCTCATCATTTAATAAGGAATGGGATTTCGCGCCCCCAGTCCAGTTAAACTCGGCTTACTGGCGTGATTGCTGGCCCCGGGCTCCACCCTGCCTTTCACCACCTGCCACTCACCAGAAATTCCTTCGGCAGTAAGAATTCAGCCAAAACTGTCAAGTAAATTGGCCCTGTTTTGAGAGCCTTCTGATTATTGGCCTTATTTTGTGGTGATGTCAGATTTCCAAGGGTCATCTCTCATTAGAGGAGTATGTTTTTCTTTGGGACTTGCGTCACCCTCTCATTTTTGGTCTCCGTTTCAGAGGTAATGACTGCTTACTGAAAATATGTCTTCTGTGGATTTGCTGTTACCCCGTTCCATTACTTTCTATGAGCRCATCGTCACATTTCTAGGGAGGACAAGAAAAAAAAATCTTTAATACAGAAAATAAGCCAAGGATTGGGAACTGAGCAAACTGAGTTTTGTTTTCCTCATTACATATAATGGGAATGCGTGTTTGCTTGTTGCTCTCTTAAAGAGTTCACAGTTCCTTATTTTAATTACTTCCAAGACACTTCACGACACTGTTTTCTACTGCATTTAAGCAGCAAAAATTTTAAGAAGGAACTAAATGCACTTTAAGGTACATGGAAAGAGTGCTTCTTATGAGCTGCAAACAGTGTTTCCCTTTTTTTTATGTGAAATTGAGAACTTCCATTCTTACACTTGGATGATTGTTAATGATAGTAATTTTTCCTGCAAAAGGAAAAGACAATCCCAATTTAATTGGTAGGAAAATAAAAAATGTCAAAACTGGTWGGAAAATAAGAACTGTCAAACCACTTATGTTTAGCAATTTATAGCAGCTGGTAACATTTCTTTCCTATTAAAATCTTAAAATAGCATTTTCTATTGATTAATTAAGCTCAGTGTGTACACATGTAGGTGTATAAAGGCAGGAGGAACAAGTCTTCTCACATTCTTTATTCCTTTATGACCCTTTATTTCATATATTTGAACCACAGTGCTGGACACCAAGTGAAGCAGCAATGCTCTTATCATGAATGTGTTATCTAAGGCAGCAGTTTCTAGAATTTTTCAGGCATTAGATCACTGTTACCTCCTCTCTTGCCTTCCTCCACCAGTCCCAACCAAGGGCTTTTGCTAGATCCTCTGCTGGGTCAGAGGAGAGAACTGGACCGACGCCAGCTCCCCATAGTCTCCCCAGCAGTGATTTCCCATTTCCCCTTATCTTCTGGTGCTTCCCTGGTATCTAAGCATCCTAACTCCCTCTGGTTGGCTTTCATTTCTCATTTTACTGTCTATCCATATTAGATTATAAGCTCCTGAGTGCAAGGATCTTATCTTCTTTAATAGCTGAAAAACACTGTTAGTGGTATCTTTTGCTTTCATTATTTTCTTTCTCCTGCTGCAGAAATTCAGATTCTAGGTAAAGGAAGTACTAACACACATAACATTAATTGGTGAGGGGGACAAGCAAGGGCTCCCTTTTTATTTTTTTGTGGTCTTTTTCTTCACAGAATCCAAAAAACATGCCAGCTCACAGAAATGTTAGTGTGGTAATATATGCAAACAGAAATTATGCACATTGTATATGTTGATGACATTTTAAAGTGCATATGTGCTGATAAGCCCTGGCAATAATTGATATGACTGTGAAAGTACTTGCAAAAGAGACGTTTCTAGCGCTGTGTACTGATTAGACTTCACCATGACAGCCTAGGTTCTACAGTAATGATTGCTTTTGAAATGCTAGTAATGTAATAAACTAGTATTAAGATGCATATATTCTGTAATTTCTTAAAATAAAACTTAGATCTACAATAGTAAGAAAAATATATTTAAAGAAGACCTAAAGGCATCAGACTGCTGGAATCAGAATATGTGTGTTATACACACTTAATAGAATCTCAGTCTTGCTTCTGAAATGTGTTATTTAAAAAAATAACCCATGGCTGATAATTTGTTAGTTTTCAGGTTATAGATGCTCTTTTCTTTCTTAAATCTTATTTTTTATGGTCACTTACCCCTTTGCAAATTCCTCCAGAATGTGAACCACACTGGAAGCAATATGGTTGTCCTGAAATACTTTGGATTTCTGACAGCCCAAATGAGCTGTAGCTGTTTGCAGTTTTTTATGGGCTCCGTGGTGAAGTGCTGTGGGCAGATTTCCTGTCATCTTGCATCCTCTCCATCTGCCTAGGTATAAATGGCTTTGTGAAAATCTTGGAGGAACACATTTCCTGAAGGTGTGGGTAGTTTATATAATGGCAGTCATGCCGCTCAGTGAAATAAAAGAACATATTCACCAAGAGGAAATCTTATACTGCAGGGATAAATAGTGTCTTTCAGAAAATATTTGCCCATGTGCACTTCTTAGGACTTACTTCTTTGTAAAGTCTTCGTGTTTTAGTATTGCAACCAGCCCTGTCTTCCATTGCCTCTTAGGAGTAGGTCAGTTTTGCCAGAGCATCCTGAGCATCCCAACAGAATCTGCAAATAAATGGGACAATCTGCAGACACTGGAGATGAGAAGGGGCCGCCAGCCTCTTGCAGGAGTGTAGGTCGCATCTGCGGATTGCCCAGCACCATCCTGGGTTCAAGGATCAGATAAAACTAACTCATCCGGACCAAAAACTGTTTAAAGAAAGAAGAAAAGGGAATTCTAGTTTCAGCTGGGTGAACAACTATATCAAAAAGGGTGTGTGGAGGAGAGAAGAGCTGATAATGGAGTGAGTAGTAAGAAAGAGATTTCAGGACTTGCCAGTGGTGGCCTGTTAGATCTTGAAAATGCTATTTTATAGCGCACACACACACATATAAATGAGTAGAAAAAAATAAGGGCCTTTTGGAATAAGGGTTGAGATTAATCTCCATCTCAATCTTCAGGGTGTATCCCTGAAATGAGATGAAGGTTTCTTCTCAGCCTTTGATGAGGATAATGGCATCAGATAYGGGAAAATATGAAAGCGTAAACTGTTCCATGCAAGATGAAAGCTAAATTAAAAATACAGCGGGCATGAGTGCAGGGATGAGGGGATCTSAGAATCATGAGTGAACTGAGGCATGGCAATGAGGTTCAGTATTACGAGTGTCCCATAAGTCTGCCGAGTGGGTATCATAAGATTAGGCTGGAACAAATGCATTTCTCTCTATATATGGGATGAGCCACTACAGTTATCACGAGAATGTCAGTTTTCAGAGCTGATCTGAGAAGTGGAAATGTGCTTACCAATGTGCTTTGGTGGTTTGATAACATAAAATTGTGAAGCACTGTAAATCCACAGAAGGAATATGATTTTCACAGAAAGAATTGGAAAGTCTTTACAACTGGAGTAAAAGAAATCTGAAAGAAAAAGTGCAGGATCAGGAATATCTTGCACTTTTTGTAAGGATTACTCCTGATATTGGACGGAAAATCAGGAGTAATAAAAAATTCCCTCTGCTAAAGTGGAGGCTTGTCTTGGGAAATTATAACAAATAGGGGATCACAGTAGAAAAGGACCATCTGCTCTTCTTTTTTTTTTTTCTGCTGGAAACAGAAGAAATAAACTGAGAGGGAATAAAATTCCCCAAGGATTTTTTTAGAATTATTTTTAAAGAATAAAATTCCCTAAGGATTTTTGAAAATAGCAGTGTCTTTAGATCAAACTATAATTTTGTTTTGTGAATAAGAGTTGTTTGTTAAAGRGAGAGGAACAGGGGTGGCACTGCTAGGGAAGATGGCACTGACACTTACATGCAGCACTGACTTGGGGGTTGCTGTATGAAAAGAATTGGGTCTTTTCTGCGTTGTTTTTGTGGTGACTGCGGTGACTGTGGAAATGCCAATGGTGCTCGGTAATGTGCTAGTTTCTTGGATTGACAAATGGATGATGCAGCGTGTCTMCGGGAGGGAGGAACGGACATTTTTGAGAAATGATAAATAACTTAAATGTGAATGTGAGAATTAACTCTGTCTTTGTTTCAGTGGGAACTTGCATGTTTATAAAATGTCTTCTTTTTTTTTCTGATTGTTTTTCAGCCATGGAAGAGTTAATAGTTGAGCTGCGTCTGTTTCTTGAACTTCTGGACCATGAATATCTAACTTCTACTGTCAGGGAGAAGAAGGCCGTAATAACTAACATCCTCCTGAGAATACAGGCAGCAAAAGGTCAGTGTCAGGGCTGTGTTTTCTTGCTTGCAGAAATAAGTCCATGCCTAATGAAATAGCTTTAAGGGGGTAAAGGCAACCCCTAAACTGAAGCGGTGCAGCAGGACAGCTTGAAGCTTAAGTGTAACTTCTCTGCCTGCTTTCCAGAGTGCTCAGCAATAAAATATAGGAAAAGACTTGATAGAAGAATTAATCTGTTGTGCATGGGTGAGCCTAGCCACAAGATAAGAATGTTTTCACTTTGTTGATATAGTAGTTACTTCATTTTATTTGTGGAGACAGTTCTGTTTTGATGGAAAAGCAGTGTTACAATCAGGGATCACTGACCACTGCACCATTTCCAGCAGCATGGAGGCTGCATGTTCATCCAAGCCACAGCCACATCACAACCAAAACTCATGAAAAGGTTTGATTTAGTTGTAGACTTTAGTTGTGGACTGTGCATGGCTGACACAGGAGTTCCCAGTCAAAGCCAGGAAATGACAGTCAGCTTTTTGGTTTTTCTTTCATAATTAAATAATGCTTACTTTCCCTTTTTCTTCCTATCTAAAACTGTTTCAATTCRCAGAATCACACAGAATCACAGAATGGTTGAGTTTTGAAGGGACCTCTAGAGATKACCTAGTCCAACCCCRCCCTGCTCCAGCAGGGACATCCAGARCACGGGGCACAGGGCGGCATCCAGGCGGGTTTGGAAGAGCTCCAGAGAAGGAGACTCCACAACCTCCCTRGGCAGCCTGTGCCAGGGCTCTGTCATCCTCACAGTGAAGAAGTTCTTCCTCACATGTGGTTGGAACTTMCTGTGTTTCAACTTGTACCCATTACCCCTTGTCCTGTCACTGGTCAATACCAATCAGAGTTTGGCCCCATYCTCTTTACATTCTCCCCTCAGGTATTTATACATGTTGATAAGATTTCCTCTCAATCTTCTCTTCTCCAGGCTAAACAGGACCAGGTTTAATTGCACAACCACTTTTGTCTCCATCGAGACTATATAACTGAGTACAGTATAATTTGATTSACTATATACAGCGATCTCCTCCAGAGCCTTTACAAAGAATCTTTCCCACTATCTCCACTGTTTTTCCTAATAGTACTCCTCTATTTTCATACAGMACCTTACTGTATAAGGAAGTATCTGGAATATAAGTTCTGTTATATGACAGACGTGCTGTCGGTATAAATCCCTAGTGTTTAACTTTTGGAAAATAATAGAAAAATGTCACATTGTGAGCAGCTGCATTTTGCATGACTTGTTTCTTCTCCAGTGCTAAAAATAATTAGTCCCCTCCTTCCAGTGAAGAGGGTTATATATGGTTATATTTGCACAGGATTCGAGTCCAGGGAGCTCAGCTTGAAAATGCTGATCATCCTGCTCTCCCTATTGAATTTCTTGAGGATCCATCACTATTTTTACATTACTAATGAGAAAAGTAGTCAGGTGGCAGTTTCATGTGTTGTGGGAGGATGCTTCATGCTCCAAAAGCCAAACAAAATATACTGAACTCCCTAAAACAAAAATCTGTAGCTGGGTAAGTATTTGCAATTTGGTATGTTTAGAAACAGCTATACTTTATGAAAGAGTGAAATAACTTCACACAATGCTGGTTTTAAATCATGTATTGTTCTTTTAATCTTTTTGACCAAATTTATTGGAAAAACATTTGACTTCCTCAATAACTCAGGCAGCAGTCTGGTGCCAGCTTTGCAAACAGTTTGCAAAATCCATTTCTCTGGATTGTGGTTGATGTTTCAGGACACAAAAACTACAGCAGAACCAGTAAATCAAACAGCACTGGTTTTGTTTCTGGACCCTGGCRCCCAACTACTTGTACTGCTAAATTTTTGGAGTGATCCTTGGCATGTTTTTGTCCTGAGCTGATTCGTCTTTCCCAAGAGTTCTTAGGCATGACTTGGGAGCCAGCAGGGGCAAAGACCTCTTCCCGAGATATTTCAGAAGTCCTTCCATTCCACCCTGTTTATTAGAGGCAAGAGATTTTAACAAAATCCATAAAGATTTCTCAGTATCAGAGAACCTTCCCCGGCATGGGAACCTCCCACTATAGATGTGACTCAAAGGACTCAAGGAATATAGCTTCTCACCTTCTAGCGCCTGCCTTCTAGCTCTCCATTCCTACAAAAAATCCGTTACAGGATCCATACATCAACAAGAAAGATCCATACAAGACCCACATACTATAAATATGGGTTTAATTCGATGTAGCTGTTAACAGAAGATTGTACCCACTTCTGGCTCCTGTGTTCAGGGAGATAGTTTAGAAATCTCAAAGAAAAGTCAAAACCACAATCACAGGATCCAGTAATACACCTTTAAATAACCCTAAAGGAGGGATCATAGTCAATCTCACTTAAAGGACCCTGGGAATGAGCTCTTAAGCAACAAAATGTAATGGTATCCAATGACTGAATGTTAATTTCAAAGTGGAAATAGGCATATGTTTTGAGCACTGAAATTATGAACTAATGGAAGAGCTTTCTAAAGTCTGCATGCCATTGCTGGCACARTATCAAGATGAAATATTTTCCCAAAAGATACGCTGTAGTTCAAACAAATTAGTTTAAGGAAGTCCTGTAGTTGAGTTGAGCAAGAGGTYGTTAAAGATGGTAGTAGACATCCCTTGGACTGTACTCTACACACTCCAGATCACAGAACTGTGGCTTAAACATTCAGAGTCTCCACAGAAAGCACTGCAATCCCTCTCCCTGGGCTGCTCATTCCTGCTCCCGTTCTGCGTCCTGCTTTCTGCTAGCGCCAGCCTTGTTTGCTTTTTTACTGCGTTAGTCCTAACCTGTGTCAGCTTCCTGCTCTGGTTCAACCTGAGGCCACACACGTACTTTGCTGGCCCGCAGGAGAGGTTGGTGCCGGGACGGGAACAGGGCAGGGATGCGGAGCGGCTTCCATGGGAATYGTGCCATCTCACGGCAGCTGGAAGCGCATGTGAAACTGGAGGGAGTCGTGTACTGCAACGGAGATGACCCTGCTGCTTTTTTGATCTGCTGTAACATTCAGTACTCCCATCCCTTTGAAACTATTCATCTCTTCATTAGAATTAAAAGCAATAAAAAAATGCATAAACTTGCAAAATTCTGCAACTAAGCTGAGCTGTCACTTTGAATTTGTTTTTTAAAATGTTATTTTACTCCACCCACGTAACGTCCATGAGATGTGCCTTGGGAATGCTGGCATAGTTGAACAGGCCTGAGGATTATGCTGAGTTCAGGCTCTTTACGCGCATTTTTAAAAATCAACTGTGTGAATCCACCAACATATTTCTATTGCTGAGGCAAACCATTTAATAAGGGAATAGTAATGGGGAAAGGCAATGAAGGATCTGTGCAAATGGGAACTGGCTGGATCCTTTATAACATCTGGAAGTGAACAATTATGTTTTGCTTTTTAAAGGTGTGGGAATTATTATAACGGTCTGGCTGGATTTCAGTAAAATTTAAACCATGACTGTTTTCTCTGTAAGTCCTGAGTTGGGAAATTCCTTGRCAATCTCTTGCCATGTTTTGTTGTGCCTACCAACTGCACACAGTTTTCTTCATTTGGTATCCATTGAACAGAGAGAATGAGGCCAGTCAGGTGTATTCTTCAGGTTGTAGCTATCTGGTCTCAACCTGCCTCACATCCAAAGCAGTAGTTATTCTGGTTAGCTGGCAAAACTATAAACTTTATTTTAATTTGTGAGTCTTGGCATTCCCATTGGATTTTAGTTCTGAACAAAACACTTGGCATTTCCTTCTGAAACTCAGACTTCTGCAAAACAAAGGCACCAACAGTTTATTTTGGAGTAAGAACTTTTAGTGAATTCAGTCATTTAAGATGACTGTCAGCATTGCTTGTTTTCCTTAACGGGACTGTAATGTCGTAAGCCTATAATGCTGACTTTGCTGTGCAATTTGGTAGAAGAAAATAAATATTAGAGCAGTTTCTTGCTTAAATATACATCCTTCCAAACTATGGGGAAAACCTGCTTTTACAGAGTCAATAGATTTCACTTGGAACACTTYCGTTCTCCCAGTAAAAAGACTGCTCGGATTTAACTTTTGGTTGTTACAGAAAGTATAGGTGAACGGCATATGGATAGCAGTCATCATATGAATTTGTCCTATGTAAGGAGGCACAAGTGAAAGTTATGCTTTAAAAACAAAAAAGAGGAATGATTCCCAAGAATAATCACACTCTCAGTTTTTAGTAAGCAAGAAGTATCTGTGGCCCTTAGAGACTGTTTATTTTATCAGTGTTGTTTTTCAGTCCATGACTTCGCAGCCAGTGGGACTGCGTTATTATGACAAGAAACATTTCAYCATTGATTACATTTTTGAGAATTACATGATCTTGACCAAAAGACGCCCATTTGGCTATGTAAATATATATTTTAAAAAATAAACTAAACCCTAGGAGCTGAATGTCATCGAGGGGTAAGCAGGGTGCATCCCATTGACTGAATTTTTGCCAGAGCCTCGAGGAGAGGCACCCATATCTCCCTTTTGATAGTCAGAAAAACAAACAGCATTGTGTTGTTCTGAAGTGTGATGGGGATTTAAATTGCCCTGCCAGAAACTCTGCACTGAAGGGCCATTCCTCTTTCCCGGGAGCCCTRTGGGAATGGCTTTTTACATCTACCTTCTGCTCCCTTCCCCAGCCCACTTGGGAAACCACGGTGCTCGTTTCAGAAACAAGAGACAAAAGGGGATGTTGGCCACAGTGGTACCTTGTTCTGGACAAGGGGACACTGAGCAGCACCTTGGCCATCCCGCCCCTGCTCCAGCACCAAGCCCAGGCCACGGGGTTCATCCGCCGTGCACTGCCATTGACATGGTCACAAGTGAAGGATCCTCATCTCGTAAAGACCTTTATCTGGACAATAAAGTCTCAACTCTGTAGTAAATCTTTCGGTTCAGTATAGTAGCAAGTTTGGAATGATTTCCTGTTTTTTTTTTTTTTTTTTTCCTTCTCCTCTGTCTGGTATTTGTTGATCTAAGCAGCTTTTAGCCTGTATCATAAGTATGTGCTTGTTCTGCATGATTAAATTCCCAGTCCCCAACATTCTTGCCAGTGGTTGCTGTTTCTGCAAAGCAGCGGGACTTGGGGGGTGACCTGGGAGCAACTCTGGGAGGGGTCACATGCCAGAACTGTGCAGTGCCACTGAACATAGCCCAGAGCACCCATTTGCTCCCGTGAAGTGCTGCCTCTGTGAGGTTTTGACTCCATGAGATCTTGGCTCCATGACATGTTGACTCCATGAGGTGTGTGTCTCTCTCCCACAGGTTTTGAAATTAAAGAACATGTCCAAAAGCAGGAAGTTGCCAACAGTTTGCCTGCACCACCTCAAATGCCTCTACCGGAGATACCTCAGCAGTGGCTGGTGAGTGCTAATTCAAACATATGAACATGATATTTTTGTGATTAAACACAAACAGAACAAGCGTTAAGAGGAAGGAACCTCTGGGCAGGTTGAGAGGAACAGGAATGGCTCCAGACTGGTGGGGTCACATCTGCGATGCCAAGTCCACTTCTTTCCCACTCCCTGCCCAGAGCAAGAGAGGCAGAGATGAGCTGGAAGGCATCCAGCGATGGACCGCGAAGGTAGATAGCCAAATTTTATGAAAAGACTCCATTTTATTAGCAAACACCCCAAAGGAAGACCTAGAGATGTGAAATGAAAGAAGTTCACATTTTTTTAAAAAAAAAATAGGCTCTGTGTCTTTCTGTGCTCACTGCCTGGGTAAGAAATTCCCTGCAGAACAAGTCGATGTCTGAGTTCTCAGAGATGTTTATAGAAGAAATATTAACTGAGATCTGCAGTTCAACTCTTCTGGTTGGAAACAGCTGTCTTGTTGAAGAGTAAGCTATAAACAAGTTATAATTCTTCTCTTTTATTGACGTAACAGTAGATTTGAGAAAAAAGAAGGGAAAAAACAGTTTTGGTATTTTTTTGAGAGGAACATAAGCAAGTAATGGTTTGGGTGGCTTGAAGGTGAGCACAGTCTAAGCCCTAATACTGACAACTTATCCATCCTTTTGTCATTTGTGGTAAATGTAGTACATAGGGACACAAATAGTCCTAAGGAAATAATCCTAAATCTGCAGAGGAGAAAATACAATTCACAAGGCAGCAGTCTGTATTTTCATGGAAGAGGGAGAACAACAGCACGACCAACACTCTGCTTCATTTTAACATGTTACTTTTTGTTATCTGATTTATGCCCTGTTTCAAGAGACAAACATACCTATTTTACAAGACAGTAGCATTCTACAAACATAAAAACTGGTTTAACAGGTCAAAGTCTTGGTCTAATAACCTTTATTTTTGACAGGGAATAGTTCTGCAAGTCACAGAACAAATTAAAAAAAGAAAGAAAAAGAAAAGTAAGTTATGTTGAGTAGCTTAAGTATAGTTTCTCCTTTAACTCTACCAGTTTTTGGTTTATGACCCAGATCAGGTTTTCTTTTCATTTTAATTCTGCAGAATGTTATTGGTTATTCTCAAATTCTTATAGAAATGGGATGTTCATGCTAGAAATTTTCATATCCAAAGTTAATATATGCACGCTAGCAAAATCTAATTAAAATACATGCTATAAAATAGTTATTCAGTAGATTTGAGTGAGTGCAAAAAAGATCATGCTAATATGCAAATGTAGAGAATTCATCTCACAGTTAACAGTGTCTGAAAATGGTCCTTTTCTTCATTTAAAGATGCATATAGCATGAATTACAGCGCAATTGTTGATGAGAGGTGAGAAAATTAAACCAAACACACATGCCTTTGAAATGTCGGCTTCTGGTGCGAGCATCATAAACTGAAGCCAATTGAATTTGTCATTCTTTCATGTTTATGTAGGCTCAGTTTAATAAATTGGTTTGGAAGATGCAAGGTAATTTTACTTTAAAAAAAAAAAAAAAAAAAGACTTGTTCTTCCTTTCTTATGAATGACTGTGTAAATATCCCCAGTGCTGGTGTGAAGTGAAAGGGTGTGAAGTATGAATTAGACCCGGCAGATCACTACTGTTCTGCAGTAGCTATATACAGGTTGGGTTTTTGAGTAAGAATACTATTTCCTTCGGATGGAGTGAGAAGTCCCTTGGACGCTGGTGTAGCCAGTGAGCTCGGAGCTTATTCTTGCTGTGACAAATTGGGCAGAGCAGGATTTGAACGCGCTCTCCTCCTGGAGGTGACAGTAACACTGCGGACACTTGACTCTTGGTCAAGTCACAAAGCTGAGCTGTTTTTTCCATCAGGGTGGAAGCTGATTCTTACCGGTTTTTCCTCCTTTCCATTGATGCTGCCGGACACCGGTGGTTTGCACTTCCTTTGTGCTTTCAGTACCCTTTGGACATCATCCAGGAGCCATTCCAGACCTGTCGTGGTCAGGCATTATCCAAGCRCAGACTACCAGGGGTGTTATTTTAAGATGCTAGCACATCATATTTTTTGAAAAAGATGACAGACTGCTGGTGTCCTGCAAGAGCCCAGGTGGAGTCAGAAAGGAAGGACAAAACCATCAGTTTTCTGACCCTCGATTACGGGTACCAGCTCAAAGCACCGTCTGGAAGTTTAAACATTTCTCYTGCCATCACCCTGAGCTAATGGTATTTTTCATTAGGTGTCTTTTAGAAACCTCTCCCTGCCTGAGGGACACCTTTTCTGTCAGACCCTTGTTATCATTAGATATGATCAGAGACTCTCATCTTTTCTCCCTTATTATGCAGAGCTGGATATCAGTGACAGGGGTTAAGATTAATTTTCCCCCGTTAATGCTCTAGTACCGTGGTTTTCAATCTAAACGTAATCAGTGGATTTCTTAATACTTTTAGATGGTGTTATAGAGCTCTGTAGAAGCTGAACATAATTACATTCCTAAGTAACATAAATGTCCAGCCTTTCTTAATAACTTTTCTTAGAATTTCTGAAAGAAATTCTGTGAATGCATGAGAAAATAGGAAATTCTGCTCTAGGATGTCACATAACAACATACATAATATACGACTCCTCTTTTTGTCAGCTGTTGGGAGACCAAGTTTTTGCACTTGTTGAATAGCATCTACTGGTGGTCTCAACCTCCAGTTGAGTCACAGTGTACTCCTGGAGGTAGGGATCAATGACTTTAAATAAACTGTGCATGGTTTTAAAATCTATGTTTTTAGCACRTCAGTTATTGAGCGTGATGGAAATTAAAGTTTCATTTACACTGCTGTTTCTTTTTATGGCACTCAAGGGATTCTGCATTCAAAAATGTTTAGTCTGAACTGATGTTTAAGCTTTTACTTATGTAAAGATGTGTGGGTGGGAAGGAATTCAATACTCCTTAAAGTGGTGCCAGGAGCCAGGATTCTTTGTAGGCAGGTGCTGGGCAAGGCTGCCTTTGCAGAGCTGTAAACAGACCTGCACATTTGCTCCTGCCAGATTTTCTATCAGTTTTGCTGTTCCTCAGCAAAATAGCAAAGATCATAAAAATTATTTTATTTATAGGTATATTGTTCATATTTKTAATTGTCTTCAATTATTAAAGCCCATAAAAATCCAGAGAGATTTCCTAGATTTGGTGGGTTTGGACCAGGTTTAAAAACCCAAAGTTAGACCTTGCGTATCTTTGAATTAAGCAATTGTCTAATTACTCTGTCTCCATCCGTGTCATTCTCCATGTCTGTGTGCATTCCCTTGCCTACATCTGCTCCAGCAGACTTCTCTCATCCTTAGGAAGCACAGATCCTCTCTTKTCTTTAGCCCTGTGCATGCAGCTCCTTCAGATGGCCAGCCAAGTCAGAGCTGCAAATGAAGGATATAGCTATGAGGTCTGCTCCAAATCCTACTGCCCAAGGGCAGCTCCATTTGCCTGGACACAGGAGGGCATTTGCCTCTATCCTGGCTGCCAGGCGAGTAGCTAATGAACCTTTGCCTGAGGCAGTTGCAGAGGAGGTCATGGTGTTGGAAACAGTCATATTGGTTGTCTGCTCTTGTTGTATTGGTTGTCTCCTCTTGAACGTACTTTTTAGGAAGCCTGGTGTATGTTGGCCTGCTTTTGCATCTCGCAGTCTGCACCTGCTTTTGTGATATTGCTCTGAGCTGAAAGGACAGGCAAGACGCAATGCTAGAGGATGGGTTTAGAAGATTAGAAGGGTCAATGCTCTACATACCTCGGCTACTGGCCATTTATTAYCTGGGGTGCCATCACTGCAGCATCACCAAGTTGCTTTAAAGTATATTTTACACATAACAGAATAACATCCAGTGCGTCCTGTGGATCCTGTGCCTGAGGATACCAGCATAAATTATCCACAGCGTGACAGTGACAGAGCCCTTCCACCGTCAAGCAGTCAGTTGTCATATTACATCTGACAGTCAGTGATTTCAGAAATGTTGTGCTGTGCAATCCAACAAAATGAGAGGCAAAGAGCACATTTGGCTATTCTGCATGATTTTCACTATAAACCTGGATATATATCTTGTTTTTCCTGGAATATGATCTAATAATGATTTAATCACTACAAGTGTCCAGCAATATGCTGTAACCCCTGTAGATATAAATCAAAAGAATAGGTTGTCTTCCCCCAACCCTTTACTGTACACACACAGTCACACCGTAGGAGTGTTTCATATAAATGAAACACTRTTTTTCTGTTGTGGAGAAGTGATTTGACAGCCTCCTTTTATCTGGCTCCTTGTCACGTATATTCTGTGATATTTATTAGAAAATGCTGAAAGGGGCAGTGTCCCTGGAGAAGAAAATGCCATTTCTGAAATCAAAAGAATTTTTTAGTGATATGTTATCAATTACATTAATTATACCTTGAAAAAAAAATATACAGCCTTGAAAGTCCTAAGCTGTGCGGTTGTGCTATGACAAAAGCGAGGGTGCTATGTGCTAGGTAAGTACTGAGGAGTTGTTATTTCATCCCCRTTTTTATACTAACACTGAAAATTAAGTTAATGTTGGCCTTGAAGGGGTTCCCTTGCCAAAAACATTTAAAATCAACAAAAATAAATTCAACACAAATTCATTTGTTTCATTCAGAGCTGACCAATGGCTTCCTTATGAGTGAATCTCAGCATGTTGTTCTGTAATGAGGGAAGAACCGAAGAGTCTTTTTTCATCACTGATTGAGATGCTGCTACAACTGGCAATTATAAAACATTAACCCTTTCAGATGCTTATTAAAATGAATTTGCCACCATATAGTTCTATTATWTAACATGCTGTTTCAGTTTGGAAAGCAGTTCTGAATTCCATCTCACTGTTCAATGCTAGCCAGTGTTCTTACATTTAAGTAGTTATTTTCCTCACCTGAGCCTGTATCTCAGGTTTCCTTTGAAATTTGGTTTGATTTGAAATCGTATTTCTCTCAGTCTCCATTTTACTCTAT